ACAGAGAGGCAGAGAGGCAGAGAGACAGAGAAACAGAGAGGCAGAGAGACAGAGAAACAGAGACAGAGACAGAGAGACAGAGACAGAGAGGCAGAGAGACAGAGAGGCAGAGAGACAGCGAGGCAGAGAGACAGAGAGGCAGAGAGACAGAGAGACAGAGAGGCAGAGAGACAGAGAGGCAGAGAGACAGAGAGACAGAGAGGCAGAGAGACAGAGAGACAGAGAGGCAGAGAGGCAGAGAGACAGAGACAGAGAGGCAGAGAGACAGAGAGACAGAGAGGCAGAGAGGCAGAGAGGCAGAGAGACAGAGGCAGAGAGGCAGAGAGGCAGAGAGACAGAGACAGAGAGGCAGAGAGGCAGAGAGGCAGAGAGGCAGAGACAGAGAGGCAGAGAGACAGAGAGACAGAGAGGCAGAGAGGCAGAGAGGCAGAGAGACAGAGACAGAGAGGCAGAGAGGCAGAGAGGCAGAGAGGCAGAGAGACAGAGGCAGAGAGGCAGAGAGGCAGAGAGACAGAGACAGAGAGGCAGAGAGACAGAGAGGCAGAGAGACAGAGACAGAGAGGCAGAGAGACAGAGAGACAGAGAGGCAGAGAGGCAGAGAGGCAGAGAGACAAGAGACAGAGAGGCAGAGAGGCAGAGAGACAGAGACAGAGAGACAGAGAGGGCAGAGAGACAGAGAGACAGAGAGGCAGAGAGGCAGAGAGACAGAGACAGAGAGGCAGAGAGGCAGAGAGACAGAGAGACAGAGAGACAGAGAGGCAGAGAGGCAGAGAGACAGAGACAGAGAGACAGAGAGGCAGAGAGACAGAAGAGACAGAGAGGCAGAGAGGCAGAGAGGCAGAGAGACAGAGACAGAGAGGCAGAGAGACAGAGAGACAGAGAGGCAGAGAGACAGAGACAGAGAGGCAGAGAGGCAGAGAGGCAGAGAGACAGAGGCAGAGAGGCAGAGAGGCAGAGAGACAGAGACAGAGAGGCAGAGAGACAGAGAGGCAGAGAGGCAGAGAGGCAGAGAGACAGAGAGGCAGAGAGACAGAGAGGCAGAGAGGCAGAGAGACAGAGAGGCCGAGAGGCAGAGAGGCAGAGAGGCAGAGAGACAGAGACAGAGAGGCAGAGAGACAGAGAGGCAGAGAGACAGCGAGGCAGAGAGACAGAGAGACAGAGAGGCAGAGAGACAGAGAGGCAGAGAGACAGAGAGGCAGAGAGACAGAAAGGCAGGGAGACAGAGAGACAGAGAGGCAGAGAGACAGAGAGACAGAGAGGCAGAGCGACAGAGAGGCAGGTTCTGACCTGGACAGAGTCTTGGATCGGGTCAGAGCTTTGGTGATGACCAGAGACGGAGCCGACTGTCGTCTATAAACTCTGGGACTTCATCTGCAACAACAACAGAGACTGAGACTTCTGACTGTTAGCATTGGCTGTTACCCTGAAGGTCCATTTTCTCTTCTTCTACTTTAATGAGGTCATAACATCATCGTTTCAAATGATGCAATGAAAGAGATTTACCCAGAGACACAGAGACAGAGACACAGAGACAGAGACAGAGACAGAGACAGAGGCAGAGACAGAGACAGAGACAGAGGCAGAGACAGAGGCAGAGACAGAGACAGAGACAGAGAAAGAGACAGAGGCAGAGGCAGAGACAGAGGCAGAGACAGAGACAGAGACAGAGACAGAGACAGAGGCAGAGACAGAGGCAGAGACAGAGGCAGAGGCAGAGGCAGAGGCAGAGGCAACTTAATAGGGTTTTTTCCATGTAAACCAGTATAATGCAACTTAATAGGGTTTTTTCCATGTAAACCAGTATTATGCAACTTAATAGGGTTTTTTCCATGTAAACCAGTACAATGCAACTTAATAGGGATTTTTCCATGTAAACCAGTATAATGCAACTTAATAGGGTTTTTTACATGTAAACCAGTATAATGCAACTTAATGGGGATTTTTCCATGTAAACCAGTATTATGCAACTTAATAGGGATTTTTCCATGTAAACCAGTATAATGCAACTTAATAGGGTTTTTTCATGTAAACCAGTATAATGCAACTTAATAGGGTTTTTTTTCATGTAAACCAGTATAATGCAACTTAATGGGGATTTTTCCATGTAAACCAGTATAATGCAACTTAATAGGGGTTTTTTACATGTAAACCAGTATAATGCAACTTAATAGGGTTTTTTCCATGTAAACCAGTATAATGCAACTTAATAGGGTTTTTTCCATGTAAACCAGTATAATGCAACTTAATAGGGTTTTTTCCATGTAAACCAGTACAAATGCAACTTAATAGGGATTTTTCCATGTAAACCAGTATAATGCAACTTAATAGGGTTTTTACATGTAAACCAGTATAATGCAACTTAATGGGGATTTTTCCATGTAAACCAGTATTATGCAACTTAATAGGGATTTTTCCATGTAAACCAGTATAATGCAACTTAATAGGGATTTTTCCTTGTAAACCAGTATAATGCAACTTAATAGGGTTTTTTTCATGTAAACCAGTATAATGCAACTTAATGGGGATTTTTCCATGTAAACCAGTATTATGCAACTTAATAGGGATTTTTCCATGTAAACCAGTATAATGCAACTTAATAGCATGTAAACCAGTATAATGGAACTTAATAGGGGTTTTTACATGTAAACCAGTATAATGGAACTTAATAGGGGTTTTTACATGTAAACCAGTATAATGCAACTTAATAAGGATTTTTACATGTAAACCACTATAATGTAACCTAATAGGGTTTTTACATGTAAACCAGTATAATGCAACTTAATAGGGATTTTTCCATGTAAACCAGTATAATGCAACTTAATAGGGTTTTTTCATGTAAACCAGTATAATGCAACTTAATAGGGTTTTTTTTTTCATGTAAACCAGTATAATGCAACTTAATGGGATTTTTCCATGTAAACCAGTATAATGCAACTTAATAGGGGTTTTTACATGTAAACCAGTATAATGCAACTTAATAGGGTTTTTTCCATGTAAACCAGTATAATGCAACTTAATAGGGTTTTTTTCCATGTAAACCAGTATAATGCAACTTAATAGGGTTTTTTCCATGTAAACCAGTACAATGCAACTTAATAGGGATTTTTCCATGTAAACCAGTATAATGCAACTTAATAGGGTTTTTTACATGTAAACCAGTATAATGCAACTTAATGGGGATTTTTCCATGTAAACCAGTATTATGCAACTTAATAGGGATTTTTCCATGTAAACCAGTATAATGCAACTTAATAGGGTTTTTTTCCATGTAAACCAGTATAATGCAACTTAATAGGGTTTTTTTCATGTAAACCAGTATAATGCAACTTAATGGGGATTTTTCCATGTAAACCAGTATAATGCAACTTAATAGGGGTTTTTACATGTAAACCAGTATAATGCAACTTAATAGGGTTTTTTCCATGTAAACCAGTATAATGCAACTTAATAGGGTTTTTTCCATGTAAACCAGTATAATGCAACTTAATAGGGTTTTTTCCATGTAAACCAGTACAATGCAACTTAATAGGGATTTTTCCATGTAAACCAGTATAATGCAACTTAATAGGGTTTTTTACATGTAAACCAGTATAATGCAACTTAATGGGGATTTTTCCATGTAAACCAGTATTATGCAACTTAATAGGGATTTTTCCATGTAAACCAGTATAATGCAACTTAATAGGGATTTTTCCTTGTAAACCAGTATAATGCAACTTAATAGGGTTTTTTTCATGTAAACCAGTATAATGCAACTTAATGGGGATTTTTCCATGTAAACCAGTATTATGCAACTTAATAGGGATTTTTCCATGTAAACCAGTATAATGCAACTTAATAGGGTTTTTACATGTAAACCAGTATAATGGAACTTAATAGGGGTTTTTACATGTAAACCAGTATAATGGAACTTAATAGGGGTTTTTACATGTAAACCAGTATAATGCAACTTAATAAGGATTTTTACATGTAAACCACTATAATGTAACCTAATAGGGGTTTTTACATGTAAACCAGTATAAAGCAACTTAATAGGGATTTGTACATGTAAACCAGTATAATGCAACCTAATAGGGATTTTTCCATGTAAACCAGTATAATGCAACTTAATAGAGATTTTTCCATGTAAACCAGTATAATGCAACTTAATAGGGATTTTTCCATGTAAACCAGTATAATGCAACCTAATAGGGATTTTTCCATGTAAACCAGTATAATGCAACCTAATAGGGATTTTTCCATGTAAACCAGTATAATGCAACCTAATAGGTTGCATTATACCACCAGACCAAGACCCAAACGAAGACTCAGACCACCACCAGATAATGACCACAGACCAGGTTTCCTTAGTTACAGGAACCAAATTGTTTCAGCGGTGAGGGGATTTTTCAGTTTCAAGGACACTTTCAATACATTCAGTAGTTTCAAGGATTTCAGCTGTTTAAGAATTTAACCAGTTTCAAGGATATCAGGAGGTTCAAGGATTTCAGGAGTTTCCACACTTTCAACAGTTTCCAGGTTTAAAAAAGTTTCAAGGATTTCAGGAGTTTCAATGTTTCAACAGTTTCAAGGATTTCAGGAGTTTAAAGGTTTCAACAATTTCAAGGACTTCAGGAGTTTCAAATATCTATCAAGTATTTTAACAGTTTCAAGGCCTTTTAAAGGATTTCAAGGATTTTTTTTAGCAGATTTCCACATTAGATCTGTTCCGCAGTCAATCGCAATGGCTTCAGCCATTGCAAGTTTCTAGTTAATATTTGAAAAAGTGCTAAAGGTGGAAGTTTAAAAAGTAATAGCAATAATGAGACGGTGAAGCCGGTCGTAACGATGTATAATTTGTTGAATTTGGTGAAAGCGTTGAGGAGTTGAAAAGTGCCAAAATCTGGCGGAAGTGGAAGAAGAAGAAGAAGAAGAAGAAGAAGAAGAAGAAGAAGAAGAACTAGAAATGGTACAATGGCTGAAGCCATTGTGAGTGGCTGCATAGATGTTGGAAGGGTTAGGGATGAAGAAGGAAGAGGAAGGGGAAGAAGAAGGAAGAAGAAAGAAAAGGGAAGAAGAGGAAAGAAGAAGAAGGAAGAGGAGGAGGAAGAAGAAGAAGGGGAAGAAGGGGAAGAAGAAGAAGGGGAAGAAGGGGAAGAAGAGGAAGAAGGGGAAGATGAGGAATAAGAGGAAGAAGGGGAAGAAGAGGAAGAAGAGGAAGAAGGGGAAGAAGAGGAAGAAGGGGAAGAAGAGGAAGAAGTGAAGAAGATGAAGTAAGAAGAATGTGTTGTAAGGGGCTGAAAGTGTTGTAAAGTGCTGAATGTGTTGTAAGGTGTTGTAAAGTGCTAAATGTGTTGTAAAGTGCTGAATGTGTTGTAAAGTGCTGAATTTGTTGTAAAGTGCTGAATGTGTTGTAAAGTGCTAAATGTGTTGTAAAGTGCTGAATGTGTATTCAAGTGCTAAATGTGTTGTAAAGTGCTAAATGTGTTGTAAGGTGTTGAATTTGTTGTAAAGTGCTAAATGTGTTGTAAGGTATTGAATGTTTTGTAAAGTGCTAAATGTGTTGTAAGGTGTTGAATGTGTTGTAAAGTGCTAAATGTGTTGTAAGGTGTTGAATTTGTTGTAAAGTGCTAAATGTGTTGTAAGGTTTTGAATTTGTTGTAAAGTGCTAAATTTGTTGTAAGGTGTTGAATTTGTGTTAAAGTGCTAAATGTGTTGTAAGGTGTTGAATTTGTGTTAAAGTGCTAAATGTGTTGTAAGGTGTTGAATTTGTTGTAAAGTGCTAAATGTGTTGTAAGGTGTTGAATGTGTTGTAAAGTGCTAAATGTGTTGTAAGGTGTTGAATGTGTTGTAAAGTGCTAAATGTGTTGTAAGGTGTTGAATTTGTTGTAAAGTGCTAAATGTGTTTTAAGTTGTTGAATGTGTTGTAAAGTGCTAAATGTGTTGTAAGGTGTTGAATTTGTTGTAAGGTGCTAAATGTGTTGTAAGGTGTTGAATTTGTTGTAAAGTGCTAAATGTGTTGTAAGGTGTTGAATTTGTTGTAAAGTGCTAAATGTGTTGTAAGGTGTTGAATTTGTTGTAAGGTGCTAAATATGTTGTAAGGTGTTGAATTTGTTGTAAGGTGCTAAATGTGTTGTAAGGTGCTATAAGTGTTGTAAGGTGTAGAATTTGTTGTAAAGTGCTAAATGTGTTGTAAGGTGTTGAATGTGTTATAAAGTGCTAAATGTGTTGTAAGGTGTTGAATTTGTTGTAAGGTGCTGAATGTGTTGTAAGGTGTTGAATTTGTTGTAAGGTGCTAAATGTGTTGTAAGGTGTTGAATGTGTTGTAAAGTGCTAAATGTGTTGTAAGGTGTTGAATTTGTTGTAAAGTGCTAAATGTGTTGTAAGGTGCTGCAAGTTTTGTAAGATGCTGTAATGTATTGTATCTGTGGTAATGAATTGTTAGTGTGGTAATGTGTTGTATGGGGAGTAATCTGTTGTACTGGTCCAATGTAAGTCAATGGGAAAAAGTGCTTGAACTTTTGTTAATATTTGAAAAAGTGCTAAAGGTGGAAGTTTAAAAAGTAATAGCAATAATGAGACGGTGAAGCCGGTCGTAACGATGTATAATTTGTTGAATTTGGTGAAAGCGTTGAGGAGTTGAAAAGTGCCAAAATCTGGCGGAAGTGGAAGAAGAAGAAGAAGAAGAAGAAGAAGAAGAACTAGAAATGGTACAATGGCTGAAGCCATTGTGAGTGGCTGCATAGATGTTGGAAGGGTTAGGGATGAAGAAGGAAGAGGAAGGGGAAGAAGAAGGAAGAAGAAAGAAAAGGGAAGAAGAGGAAAGAAGAAGAAGGAAGAGGAGGAGGAAGAAGAAGAAGGGGAAGAAGGGGAAGAAGAAGAAGGGGAAGAAGGGGAAGAAGAGGAAGAAGGGGAAGATGAGGAATAAGAGGAAGAAGGGAAGAAGAGGAAGAAGAGGAAGAAGGGGAAGAAGAGGAAGAAGAGGAAGAAGTGAAGAAGATGAAGTAAGAAGAATGTGTTGTAAGGGGCTGAAAGTGTTGTAAAGTGCTGAATGTGTTGTAAGGTGTTGTAAAGTGCTAAATGTGTTGTAAAGTGCTGAATGTGTTGTAAAGTGCTAAATGTGTTGTAATGCTGTGTGTATTCAAGTGCTAAATGTGTTGTAAAGTGCTAAATGTGTTGTAAGGTGTTGAATTTGTTGTAAAGTGCTAAATGTGTTGTAAGGTATTGAATGTTTTGTAAAGTGCTAAATGTGTTGTAAGGTGTTGAATGTGTTGTAAAGTGCTAAATGTGTTGTAAGGTGTTGAATTTGTTGTAAAGTGCTAAATGTGTTGTAAGGTGTTGAATTTGTTGTAAAGTGCTAAATGTGTTGTAAGGTGTTGAATTTGTTGTAAAGTGCTAAATGTGTTGTAAGGTGTTGAATTTGTGTTAAAGTGCTAAATGTGTTGTAGGGTGTTGAATTTGTTGTAAGGTGCTGAATGTGTTGTAAGGTGTTGAATTTGTTGTAAGGTGCTGAATATGTTGTAAGGTGTTGAATTTGTTGTAAAGTGCTAAATGTGTTGTAAGGTGTTGAATTTGTTGTAAGGTGCTGAATGTGTTGTAAGGTGTTGAATTTGTTGTAAGGTGCTAAATGTGTTGTAAGGTGTTGAATGTGTTGTAAAGTGCTAAATGTGTTGTAAGGTGTTGAATTTGTTGTAAAGTGCTAAATGTGTTGTAAGGTGCTGTAAGTGTTGTAAGATGTTGTAATGTATTGTATCTGTGGTAATGAATTGTTAGTGTGGTAATGTGTTGTATGGGGAGTAATCTGTTGTACTGGTCCAATGTAAGTCAATGGGAAAAAGTGCTTGAACTTTTGTTAATATCTGAAAAAGTGCTAAAGGTGGAAGTGTGAAAAGTAATAGCAATAATGAGACGGTGAAGCCGGTCGTAACGATGTATAATTTGTTGAATTTGGTGAAAGCGTTGAAGAGTTGAAAAGTGCCAAAATCTGGCGGAAGTGGAAGAAGAAGAAGAAGAAGAAGAAGAATAAACAGTAGGAGAGCATATAGTGGCTGCATAGTCTATGCAGCCACTCAATAAACAGTAGGAGAGCATATAGTGGCTGCATAGTCTATGCAGCCACTCAATAAACAGTAGGAGAGCATATAGTGGCTGCATAGTCTATGCAGCCACTCAATAAACAGTAGGAGAGCATATAGTGGCTGCATAGTCTATGCAGCCACTCAATAAACTACATCTAAGGCATCTGCTTTAGCTGAAGGTGTTGTTCTGTTCTGCAGCTCAGAGAGAGTCTTCTCTCCACGCTTCTCTTCCTGCACTTACTCTCTCTTTGCACAAATAGAGTTTATTCAAAGTATCAGTGCACATTGTCGGTCAAGTAATCCAGTACTTAGGTATTTCTGAGAAAACCAACCAGTGTGGTTTCTCCACAAACTGGTGATACTAAAAACAATATGAAAGTGAAATATGAAAGTTATTCTAAACACATTAAATGAGTTCATAAAAAAGTATTTTTAGAACATGAACAATGAAATAATGTTGCTTTCAGTTTCACTTTCTGTATGATTAATAGCTAGTTAGACTGGACTGATCTGAACCTGCTTCTAATCCTGAATCTTTCATTATGTGGGTCACTTATTGCCTTTAGAACGTCACAGTCGAGGCGGTCAGATGCAGTCGAGGCGGTCAGATGCAGTCGAGGCGGTCAGATGCTGCAGTCGAGGCGGTCAGATGCTGCAGTCGAGGCGGTCAGATGCTGCAGTCGAGGCGGTCAGATGCTGCAGTCGAGGCGGTCAGATGCTGCAGTCGAGGCGGTCAGATGCAGTCGAGGCGGTCAGATGCAGGAGAATAGCAGGTTAAGGTTGAGGTTTACTTTACCCTCTGTCAGCAGCAGTGGTCACTACAGGCAAAGGCCCAGAGACATAGTTCATATGTGGACTACAGTAAGACATGTGGCGATACCTGATTATGTCATACCTCATAGGCTAAGTGGGGCAGAGCCTGAGTAGTACTGTGATGGGAGACCACAATTTGTTAGGCAACACACTCAAGCAACATTGGTCCTTGTATGGTGTGCGTGAGTAAATTATTGATGATGGTGTGAGGCATGTACTGGTTGCCTCGCTTCAGTCAGTCTGTCCTGGGTCAGCTGTGGCTACAGTTCCACCACTGTGTATGAAGTGAATGTGAAGCGTCTTTGAGTGTCCAGAAAGCAGCTGTTGCATTATCATTAGTGTCACAGGAGTTGGAAGATGTTTCCCATGGTGCAACTTAATGATGGACAGGGATTTGACAGTGAATTTAGTCATATATCAGAGGTTTTGATACAGTGCCTTGCGAAAGTATTCGGCCCCATTGAACCTTTCAACATTTCGCCATATTTCAGGCTTCAAACATAAAGATATAAAATAGTTATCTGCAGTTCATCCAGAGCGATCATGGGCCTCTTGGCTGCATCTCTGATCAGTCTTCTCCTTGTTTGAGATGACAGTTTGGAGGGACGGCCGGGTCTTGGTAGATTTGCAGTGGTCTGATACTCCTTCCATTTCAATATAACTGCTTGCACAGTGCTCCTTGAGATGTTTAAAGTGTGAGATTTCATAACACTTTGAAGCAACTTTTGTTAAAGTTAAACTCATCATTCTATCAATGTGCAGAAGCCAGTACTTTTCCCTTGTTTTGTCTATCTGAAGGCCAAGCTACAAGCACACCGTGGAAGCTGCTGATTGGAGGTCTCCATGCCTCCTCTCTGTATAATACACTTGCATTCTATTGTATCTGTGATCGTGTGCTTTGTTCGTGCTGTCTCTACCATCGACAATAAAACATGTCTTCTGTCTGAATTTAAGACGCAATCCCAGACTTGGCTCATCTTCTTCAAAAGCTTGGTAAATCTTTTTGTTTCCAAATCCGGCTTTAAACTTCTCCACAACAGTATCTCGGACCTGCCTGGTGTGTTCCGTTGTCTTCATGGTTCTCTCTGTGCTTTAAACAGAACCCTGAGACTATCAAAGAGCAGGTGCATTTATACGGAGACTTGGTTACACACAGGTGCATTCTATTTATCATCATCAGTCATTTAGGACAACATTGGATCATTCAAAGATCCTCACTGAACTTCTGGACTGAGTTTGCTGCACTGAAAGAAAAGGGGCCGAATAATATTGCACGCCCCACTTTTCAGTTTTTTATTTGTTAAAAAAGTTTAAATTATCCAATACATTTCGTTCCACTTCACGATTGTGTCCCACTTGTTGTTGAGTCATGACAAAAAAAATAAATGTTATATCTTTATGTTTGAAGACTGAAATGTGGCGAAATGTCGAAAGGTTCAAGGGTGCCGAATACTTTCGCAAGGCACTGTAAAAGCCAACTATGGAGGGACATTTGTCTAGTTGATAATGCTGTTTCAGCTACAGTTGAACCTGATGAAATCTCACACAACAAAGAGACAAAGTTAATCTTTTACTTGTTACATTGTACAAGGAGAATGTCTTGACAGAGGCAAGGCACAGACCCTAGCCTCTCTCAGGACAAGTCTGAAGATTCACAAATGGCAAGCCCCTTTTGGTAGAACAAGACACACCTTCGTATGCAGATGAGAAAGGAAGAAACCAACACAACAAAAGACACTTAGCATATGAGCTCCCCAGACCTCCCGGTGTCTTCCTGAAGCTAAAGTGAATTACAATACAGAGCATTCAGCATATAGCCACATATGATTTACCAAAATGATAACTTAAGTTACATTCCAATATCACTAGTGCATTATAAGAATCATAATTCTTTTTATTCCCATTGTGAATAAGAAGTCACAAACTAGGAAATTGCTTAATATCGTAATAATTGTATACGCTTCTTGATAACACACAAGATGAACTTGGAAATCTCGTTCATTTCCACACCTACACTGAGCACCTGTGCAAAGGTTTTAGATATTTGAGCCAGGTGTGATGTTTATTTTCTCATAGAAACAACTCCCCGCTCCATTATTAGATGATAGGGCAGAATTTACGAGAAGCGCAGTCCAACAGGTTTGTCCAGAGAGTTGTCATGGCCACTAGAGTATAAAACAGGATGGCTCAGGCTCACTCTGCATCAGAGACCTTCGCAATCTGTAAGTACCAGCACTTTTTTCCATCCATAAAATATCAACAGATCAGAGGCTTATTTCATTTCTGCATCTGCGACAGGTCAGCTTGATATGATATTCCCTGATTTAACTATAATTTGAATTTTCTTTGCTTTTTGCTTCAACCCACTTCTTTTGAGCAGAATTTAATATGGTTTCAAGATTTGAAAAGAATAATAAGAATTTTACAATACATAGCTGTTAATTTTCAGTAATTACAACTAATATCTGCCATACTGGTATTATTTCACAATTTTTGTTGTCATTATTTTTGTGTCTTAATTATTATCTTTGAGGATGTAATATAATAGGATAGGCATACATGTTCAGTTTGCACAATCTGCTTATCTTAAGGAGAAACTAGTCAAGAGTGCAATGATATAAAGGTGCACTGAAACTTTATAATGGTTTCTGCAACATTCTTGTTGCCATGGAGATGTTACGCTAACTAAAGCTTGAGGGAATCAATGAAAAAACGCCTTTGTTTAAAGCATATAAATTGTATGGGACTCTTTAGCTGCATTATAGTATTTGACTATTTGACACAGTTGTAATATTCATGCTTATACTGGGTTTATTGTTTCAAGTTGGGACCCTTAAGTGTGTATGGATATTGTCTCTGGCTGAAGGGCAAAGTCCCAGGTGAAAAGATGTCTGGCCTTTTCCTGTTGATGCTCCTGCTTCCACTGCCTGAAGCGCTTGGTTTTAAAATCTATCGAAGTCCAGTGTGGAGTCATCAGGAGATCACAGTCACAGCCATCCTCAATGTGACTGCTCACGCCTGCCGAGCTGTGGCTGAAGCTGAGGGCCGCGCCTTCACTTTTCCAGTAAGAGATTCAAGTTTTACAGAATTGTGTTTTATTTATTCTGCAAGTAAAGGCCAACCCACTTTGTATGAATCAACAAATGGAAATGTCGCAGGCAGTTTTTGTTCCTCATTTGATTGCATGCCCCAGTGCTAAAGCAGTCTCGTCACAGCCTCGCTTCCTGGGTGCCTCTCTGTTCTTTTAGGGACTTTCTTTTGGCTCTTTCGCTCTATACTGTAAGCAGTATCCGGTAACAGAGACATGGGAAGTTTCAGGTTTGCCTCCGCCATGATGCTCGTTTACCTCAGCTGTCTGTGCTAACAAGAGACCGTGGATTTTCTCAAGAAGTGGCCCGCTGTAATTGGTCCCAAAATAAATTATCTTTAGAGTTTGTGAAAATTTTATCTAAAATTAAATTACACTCACGTACATACCAGCGCTACTTATTCTTCAACAAGACGTATATCCCAATGCACTGCATGAATATGGATTGAACTTTCCTAATAAATTCAAAAAATAAAATGAGGTAGTCCAGCTTTAAATACAGGTCCTTTTACATCAAGGCCAGTAAACGAATCAGCTGATTCCCATCTGTCGTGTAGTCAGAGATTTACTAGATATGAAATGAATGCATGATGAGTTCATGATGACAATCGTGACTTATCATTTCTTATGAAGAGATCTTTCATCCAAAATGGAATCTGTTGTTTACTGGGCCATGTTTTCTGGAGTATCGTCACAGACAAACAACCCAACGCCACTAATAACTTTCCCTTCTGGACGGAGACAGCCATTATCGCATATGACTCATCATTCTATATCTGATTTGTTTGGGAATTCTTTAGAGAATGAAGAATCAGGGTTTATTCCTGCTGTCGACAGTTGTATCATGTTGAGTTTGCATGTATTTAACCCTTGTGCCATCATCGCCACAGTGAATAAGAAATACCCTAAACATCCAAGCTGGATTTTGATGATTTTTCCAGCTTGACCACTCTTTGACAGCAGATATTTTAAAATTTATAACACAGTTTTAAATTCCACATAGCTATCACATGATAACATGCTTCTCCTCACCATTATTTTGGTCTTTTAGCGTTCGCTCTACAGTAAGTTCAGTTTTTACTATTACCCCACAGTAACAAGAAGTAATGAGTAATTAGATAACTAATCCAAAAACATTTCCATGTAACTTTCCGACACTGTTCGTGAATGAGCTCATGTCATGAATCATTAATATTTCCTCATGAGTTTGATAATGCTGTTTCAGCCACAGTTGAACCTGATGAAATATCACACAACAAAGACACAAAGTTAATCTTTTACTTGTTACATTGTACAAGGAGAATGTCTTGACAGAGGCAAGGCACAGACCCTAGCCTCTCTCAGGACAAGTCTGAAGATTCACAGTCTGCAAGCCCCTTTTGGTAGAACAAGACACACCTTCGTATGCAGATGGGAAAGGAAGAAACCAACACAACAAAAGACACTTAGCATTTGAGCTCCCCAGACCTCCCGGTGTCACCTGAAGCTAAAGTGAATTACAATACAGAGCATTCAGCACATAGCCACATATGATTTACCAAAATGATAACATAAGTTACATTCCAATATCAAGTTCAAGTGTGAATTACTTTTAGCTCAAATACAATGTTTGTTTGCAGGGATCTCTCACCAGCCAAAGTGTACTTGAAGCTTGTGGAGCCCGAGAAGCAGAAAAGGATTTTGGCAGAAATGTTGATAAAATAAAAAACACAAATGCAAGAGTGGATCTGAAGGTATTTTCCGCAAGGCGACATTTTGATGATGAAAAAATAAATGAAGGAAAGAAGATCATCACAGATGGACTCGACGCAGTGAAAGCCAGCGTCAAGAAAGGGAGTTATGAGCCTGCACGATCGAAACTTGGAGAGATCTTGCATACTTTACAGGTGTATTTTTAAGAAATATGTTTTCTGTTATAGGAACCAATATTGTACCAGTACCAACATCATAATAACCAGTAACAATAAGCCATGAACTCGCCAATGATGACTTTTTGATACGTGTCAAAAATAAAAAATACACATGTCCTACATAAAAAATATATATGAACATAGCAGGAACGGGATGGGCATTCCATACACAAAAGAAGAACAACAAAAGGAGTGTGAAAACAGGGAGACTCACTAGAGCTGGGAAGAAACAAGAAGATCAGGGAACCTCAAAGTCAACCATTTCAGAAGTTCAGGGTGGCAAAGGACACTAACACTCCCTTCAAAGCTGTGAAAGCTGTAGGTTCTCTGTCAGCTGAAGACGAGCTGTTTTAGTTTACATTATGGCCTTTGTGAAAATGTGAGTTTTAGCTGCAGTGTCGCTGGTGGCCCCTTATAGATAATATAATACAACTATGGTTCTGGTTCTAAGCTGCCAACTTAGTAACAGCTGACCAGGGCAACGGGCAATAATAAATGCAACCAATAATCATCCTGATTATTATGAATTACATTTTCATAATAAATAAGGGAAATTATTTTACATTTGGGATTCTACTGATTCTTTGAGAAAACAAGTCATTTTGCTCATTTGTTACATCATTAGGTTTAGTTATTGCAGATGTTGATGTAATGACCAGCTGGTAACATTTGTAAATGGTCAAATGACTTGCGTTACTGTGAATACTGTACTGGGCGTTATTGCATTATTGTTTCCCTACAGCAGTTAATCATGAACGCAAAATAACTTTGCAAAAATATGCAGGATTTCTACAGTCACAGCAACTGGATTGAGATGGGAAATGACAGACCAAATTCTAATGTGATCAGCAGAGACAGCATTGGCACTATCGCAGGTAAAGCAAATAATCACGGCTTCAAAATCACAAAACTATTTCTAACCTGTGACTTTTATAACCGTGCTTAAGATGAAACAAGGCCAACCTGCCGCGACTGCAATGGAAATGATTGCTCCTCAAACATTTTACAAGATATCCTTAATGAAAGAGTCCTGACTTCAGGCTATTTCTCTCTTTTCCCTTTCAAACCGAAGGGTGAGGTTTCACTCGACAACAATGACTAAACATTATCTTAGGGAAAGGGTGAGTTTCTTTTCACTCGGGACACTGTGTCACTTACAGGAAAATGCAGTCACGGTAATTTTCCAGACGCAACTGCATTGAGAACTCCTAAAGGTGGAATAAATAAAGACACTCCAGAATCTAGTCATGGACATCTGCACGATCAAGCAGCTCTGGTCGCTGTCGCTGCCACCTCTGAGCTCCTGAACGACATCCGCAACGCTGCTGGAGACAAGGAGTTTCTACGGTACAAAATCACTAAACCCGTTTAAGTTTGTTTGGAAGCATAGAAGTCATCAGAAAGAGTCGTTTGTGGAAGTCTGATGTATTAGTATTTTCTCAGTCATTATTGTGTTGCTCTGTCCACAGCATGTTGGGAGTTATCTCTGGAAAAGCCTTATGTTTTGTGATCGACACAACCGGAAGCATGGGGGATGACATCACAGCAGTGCGGGAAGTCACTTCAGAAATAATAAACACAAGAGTGGGAACAAAGAATGAGCCATCGGTTTATATTCTTGTGCCATTTAATGACCCAGGTGTGTTTCATTTAACAATTATGTCAACTATTATGCAACAATCAATTGTTTGACTTCTGTGCTAGTCACGGTTTGTCCATAACAAACACCATATTTGAGCACTGGTTTCTTTCTACAAGAAGCGGGACCTTAGGGTGTGTTCCAATCAAGGGCGTAGGTTTGCGTGGGGACCATGGGGACATGTCCCCACCAATATTTGGTGAGGACTAAAAAGTCCCCACCAAAATGACATGATGTCCCGTGACCAGTGGCGGAGCCAGAGGGGTAGCCAGGGTGGCCACTGCCACCTCTAAAAATATCCTTGCCACCCCCAGTGCCCCCCTCGGAAGACGGCAATGTAATAATGTTAATCTTGAGAATCTTCCGCACTTTTTCCGGCAAAAGCTAAAAATTCCCACGGTTTCCCCCGACTGTGAACGCACCTTGACTCCGTGGAGCCGGTGCTGTATGCCAATGTTTTGGGTTGTTGGACTCAGGTGTGCCCAAGTCGTGATGAAAACAAAGAGGTAAGTTAGCGACGCAGAGCCAACCGTTTACATTTGACACAAAGTATAGACACACGTACTGCAGCGCATTACTTGTTCAGTTTGTAGAACTTTTAGTGTGTGTATGTGTGTGTGCGTGCCTGTGTGCGTGCCTGTGTGCGTGCCTGTATGCGCGCCTGTGTGCGTGTGTCAGCGTGCCATTGTGTCTGCGTGTGTGTGCGTGCCTGTGTGTGCCAGTGTGGGTCTGCGTGCCTGTGTGTGTGTGCGTGCCTGTGTGCGTGTGTGCGTGCCTGTGTGTGTGTGCGTGCCTGTGTGCGTGTGTGCGTGCCTGTGTGCGTGTGTGCGTGCCTGTGTGTGTGTGCGTGCGGGGTGCATGCGTGTTTATTTTCCATTATTAATTGCCCATCGTATCATCGCCCTCTTCCCTTTAGTCTAAACATTAAAAGAAAAGGAGGAAACATTGCCTACAGGCCTTTTTTTGTTAGGAAAAGGCTTGTAGATCAGCCTGAAGGTCAGACTCTGAGGCAGTATGTTTTAAGATGATGAGGAATTTGTTGTGTTGTATTAAAATATAGCTTATATAATTGAGTTTCAGAGAATGAGAGGGTGTCGCTGACAGGTGCAGGATCGTCTGTTGGCAGAAGGCGTTTTTTCACACACAAAAAAAGAAACAAAATAGCTAAGATTATGGATGATGTGCAGTTGCTTAACCCCAAAACGGGGAACGTTTGGAAAGTGTTTCATGAGCTTTTTTTTGAGGCTTGCAAAGATCTTTTTAATACCTGTCAGTACTGCGTCTTGTGAAATAAGTTTCTCTGTCCTAAAACTTATTAAAAACCATCTCAGAACTATGGCAGATGATTGAGTCATCTTGGTATCCTCAGTGTAGGGTAAAGGAAGGCTCAGGGCTGAATATGGATGAGTTTGTCAACATCTTTGCTGCTTTACACCAGAACCGTAGGAATTTGCTAAATTTGTTAAAAGAAAAAATGTAATGCAATGTTTGAATGATGTTATTTTGCACTTTTTTTGTTCAGACTACTATTTAAATACACTTTTTTTTTTTGCTTTGTAGTTTCCAAGTGCATGGGGCGACAGTAGCTCAGTTGGTAGAGCATTGGCCTTATGGCCAGAAGGTTGTGGGTTCAATTCCCACCTCTGCACTTTCTCCACCGACTCCCACTGATGACTGCTGTTGTTGTGTCCTTGGGCAAGACACTTAACCCCACTTTGCCATAAGCCCCCACTGAAAGATCAAGGCTATGCTCACACTCAAAGAGCAGCCGTCCTCCTGTGGACTCACCACCTGCAGAGGGTCAGTGCGGGGCTGGTGCTATGAGACTTGGGTGGCATCTCTGACTGCCACCCCCCTGACCCAGAAATGGATTAAAGGGTAGAAGATGGATGGATGGATGGATGGAGTTTCCAAGTGTGCTCTCAGTTCACTTTATATTAAAAATAATGACAAGATTAAGATTAAAATGTATCGTTTAGCCAGTTTTTGTGCGAAATAAAATTTCGGAATAGTATAAATGTGGACCCCTCAAAAAAACCCTTGCCACCCCCTGGCCACCCTCTGTTTAAGAGTCTGGCTCCGCCACTGCCCGTGACCCGGACGGTCCGGGACACATGTCTTCCGTTTGTGCACACGTCGCGCCTCCTCCTCGCCTCCAGAGCAACAGCAGCAGCAGCAGCACGTGACCCGTTCCGTTCTCTGCAGTGATTGGCTGTCTTCTTCAGCGCCAAACTGAAGCACTGAGCGACTGTTTAATTTTTAAAAGTTAGCCAGCGTGAAGCAAGTGTTTTTTTTCGTTCCCTGAGCGTTGTAGCACGTTAGTAATCAGAGGAAAGTACTGTAGATCCATTACCATTCAAAGTACTTACGTTATTTCTAATCTGTCAGCGCACTGTTTAATGTTCCGAGGAGCTCACACGGCACAGAGACAGAACAGAACTGGCTCCAATAAAGAAACAGGTTGGTTGAAAGGCTGAAAAAATACTTATTGTGCTCTTACTATCCAAAATGTATAAGTGGGTGTGTTGTGTGAATCAGGATAAACTAGGGATGAAAATATTCCACGGATCCACGATTTACAACCTTTATCTGCTGATAATGTAATTTCTGTGAAATGTGTGACAGCGGGCACTTGCTGTTATTTGCTCTAAGCACATTCAAGCGATGCACTCGAATGTGCACGTCCTGGTGCAGCTGCTGCCGCTTTGTAATGACAGCCGCGGCGCTCAGTGAAAGCACAGCTCTAACATGGTACCGAGCTCGGACCATATGCAGACAGAACCATGTTGCAAGTGCGGGTCTCCCTCGTATCTCCCCCGTTTCTCCCCTGTGTCTCTGACATGTCTCTCCCCTGACTCTTCCCAAAGCGCAACCAGCGCTTCCGAAATTAAAGCTCGGATACCTAAATTTTCCATTGCGTTAACGATGCATGCTGGTTGTGCGCAAAACACACCACAACAGGTCATTTAAGTTTTTATTTTGCATACTTGAGAGCCCTGTGAGTCATTAGTTGCCTTTTTGGGTTGAGAGTGGAATTAAAAAAAAGAAAATATAGAAAAATCCACACTGTTACTTATTGCCAAACTCTTGTTAACTCATTGTATTGAGAAATACTATGTAACTTTTGACATTGGCCAAGTTATATAAATGATTCTGCAGTTCATGTATATGAATGTCTGTTTTTGATTGTCTATACCTTCTTATATAATTTAGAAAAAATGCCACCTCCACAAAAAAAGATAAAAGATATCAGGAGCTTTTTTAACAGTTGGAAAGTAAGTAAGAGAAAGCACAAGTAATAGCAAATTATGAATTGTGATGATTAATCTTCTGTTAACATACATAGGAAACTCAACCAACAAAAGAGAACAATATAGGGAATGTTGAGGTAGAAGCAACAGGCCCTTCAGTGCATCAGGCGAGGTTGGAATTTTGTAGGTATGCATGGGACTATGAATTGTTTTTAGAGATTGATCGTATATGTCAAACAATGTAGTGAGCTACTCACTGTAGATTCTAATTCAATATTTTCTCCTCTGTTTTTATTTATTATAGGAAATTGAAAGATCAGAGCATGATTTATTTCAAGTATCGAGAGCAGTTCCTGAACTGTTAGAGCCTCAGGTGAGGGCTATTATGTAGATTTGGATTAGGTTTAAGCCAGTATAGAATGAACGCAACACAAAACTCAGAAGCTCTGATCCAATTGATTTTGTTTTAACTATTAGAAAAAATCCTTAACTGCTTCTCATTCAGTCTACAGCTGAGTTTAGTATAGAAGGCAACATACTATTGCAAATATAGTGTGTGATCACACAACAAATTCTGGGGGAGAAACTCTGGACCCCGTGTCAATGGGTGTAGACTCAGGTCGTAGTGAATGTCCCCACCAAGATTGGAACCAAACCTACACCATTGGTTCCAATGATTGTGGGATCACACTCCTCAGCGTTCTCAGTAAGGTCTACTCCAAGTTGCTGGAGGGGAGACTTCGACCGATGGTCGAATCTCAGGTTCAGGAACACTGGACCAGCTCTATACTCTCCATCGGATACTCAAGATATCATGGGAGTTGGCCCAACCAGTCCACATGTGCTTTGTGGACCTGGAGAAGGCTTTCAACCATGTTCCCCGCGGAGTCCTTTGGGGGGGGGTTCTCCAGGAGTACGGGGTCATTTGCTGATGGTCATCTGGTCCCTGTATGACCGGAGTCAGTGCTGCTAAGTCAGGCAATAAGTGAGACCTTTTTTCCAGTACATGTTGGCCTCTGCCAAGCCTGCCCTTTGTCACAGGTAATGGGTGTTGACAAAAAAGTACGGATGGCCTGTGGCAAGGAAAACATCCCTATCTACTGGTGGCAGTATTGAGTATGTGTTTTGTAAAGGCCTATGAGGCAAACAAGTTTGTGCTGATTACCCTTGATAAGAAGAAATCCAAAAAGATGCTCCAGATATTATGATCTAAAAAAAGTTAGTATTCTTACAGAATAGGTGTAAAGGATTGATGGTTTTTAGTTATGAGCCAATTAACAAAAACCATTCTCTGAATTTTTGCCTAAGACTGTGAACCCTTATTCCATGACCATATCATTTGATCCAACAAGATTCATTTGGTCACTCTAAAAACACTCGAACAGAAATGTATTTTCTTTGCTAAACGGTCATTCAAATCTACTCTATTTTTGTATGGCCCTAAATTACAACAGCAGTGGTCAAGGAGGACTTTTAAAGTCATCGATTTGCCAACAATAGACACGAGAATCTGATCGAACACAGGAAAAACCAGAGCCGTTGGTCCATAGGGAGTGGGATGACCACTTTCCATAGATTTCCTTTCATTTTTCGGATCATCGCTGTTCTTAGGCCTTCCTGCATCAACAACAAACGGGGGAAAAAAAACATTTGTTTAAAGTTTCCCATTGTTCCTCTGTTATTCAAGAGTTTGGCCCCCTGATAAGGACGACTGATGCCAATGAATTTAAACAAGCCATTAATGCCTTGATTCCTGACGGTGGAGGAGATGCACCTGAAATGTCACTTTCTGGATTGCAGGTTATGCCTCTTTTTTTATATTCCAAATTCCACACTTCCATTAAAAATATATATTTAAAAGTTGCCTTTTACAGCTGGCTCTGACTGGTGCCCCTTTTGGTTCGGAGATTTACCTCTTCACTGACGCGGCAGCAAAAGACTCTCATCTGAAAAGTACAGTGACTGCATTAATCGAAAGGACAGGGTCAGTGGTGAGCATTCAGCTTTGTTATCAACCCCATTGTAAGAGGTTAAAGAGGGTACTTCTAGTAAGGCAAGGCAAGTTTTTTTGTATAGCAAAATTCATACACAAAGCAACTCAAAGAAGGAAGACCATCACAAAAGGAATTAAAATAAGATAAAATCCTTTAGTTGTTCAGATGTTTAGTTCTCACTCTGGGCGCCAGTAGGAGGCCAGTCCCGGTGCTTCTTAAAGTTCGACTTGGTTCATATGGCACTTATGTACTTTGGTGCGAGGCCATGGAGAGACTTGTACACAAGCAGAGCTGCTTTAAAGTCCAGTCAGTGCAGAGACCTGAGAACTGGACTGATGTGATTGCACTTCCTAGTTCTGTCAGAACTCGACTTCGCAGTTATTAAGAGAAAAGTGCAAAGAAGCTATTACTGCTTCATTAAACCATGTTTTGACAGTAGACATGTGATGGTGTAACATGTCTATTATCAGCTGTTGTTACCAGATGTGGTCTCTTGAGAAGTGAGTCCGAAGTGGGAGCCAAGGCTAATCAGCGATATCCGACTACTGCAAAAGAGAAAATCATGTCATGAACTGGGACAATGCAAAAATTGTAGGAACATAAGAATAGAAAATACAAAAGATGCAAACTAGAGGCGATTGAAATCAGTCTCATCAACAGAGACGAGGGGGGCCTATACTTTGTCTCACTCTTGGGGCTCACGTCTCCAGAGATGTTATTCTTATTAGAAGATGTATTTAAGCCTTAAACATAAAGAAGACACAATTCACTTTTTATACCCATTTTAAGCAGTGATTACATTACAAAAAATACATTTAGCATTAAGCAGTAGTGTATTCTGTTATTCAATTAAAACAGCCAATAATTAGAACTAGAAACCGTTGCAATGGCTGAAGCCATTGCGATTGACTGCGAAACAGATCTAATGTGGAATTTAGCTGAAAAATCCTTGCTGAAAAAAACTGTTAAAATACTTTAAACATCTTTGAAACTCCTGAAGTATTTGAAGCTCCTGATATCCTTTAAACTGTTATCCTTTATACTGGTTTACATGTAAAAACCCCTATTAAGTTGCATTATACTGGTTTACATGGAAAAATCCCCATTAAGTTGCATTATACTGGTTTACATGTAAAAAACCCTATTAAGTTGCATTATACTGGTTTACATGTAAAAATCCCTATTAAGTTGCATTATACTGGTTTACATGTAAAAACCCCTATTAAGTTCCATTATACTGGTTTACATGTAAAAAACCCCTATTAAGTTGCATTATACTGGTTTACATGTAAAAACCCCTATTAAGTTGCATTATACTGGTTTACATGGAAAAATCCCCATTAAGTTGCATTATACTGGTTTACATGAAAAAAACCCTATTAAGTGGCATTATACTGGTTTACATGAAAAAAACCCTATTAAGTTGCATTATACTGGTTTACATGGAAAAATCCCTATTAAGTTGCATTATACTGGTTTACATGGAAAAAACCCTATTAAGTTGCATTATACTGGTTTACATGTAAAAACCCCTATTAAGTTGCATTATACTGGTTTACATGGAAAAATCCCCATTAAGTTGCATTATACTGGTTTACATGTAAAAACCCCTATTAAGTTGCATTATACTGGTTTACATGGAAAAATCCCTATTAAGTTGCATTATACTGGTTTACATGGAAAAAACCCTATTAAGTTGCATTATACTGGTTTACATGTAAAAACCCCTATTAAGTTGCATTATACTGGTTTACATGGAAAAATCCCCATTAAGTTGCATTATACTGGTTTACATGAAAAAAAACCCTATTAAGTTGCATTATACTGGTTTACATGAAAAAACCCTATTAAGTTGCATTATACTGGTTTACATGGAAAAATCCCTATTAAGTTGCATTATACTGGTTTACATGGAAAAATCCCTATTAGGTTGCATGATTACACTGAAGTCCTTGAAACTGCTGAAGTCCTTGAAACTGCTGAAGTCCTTGAAACTGCTGAAGTCCTTGAAACTGTTGAAGTCCTTGAAACTCTTGAAATCTTGAAACTGCTGAAATCCTTGAAACTGTTGAATCCTTGAAACTGTTGAATCATTGAAACTGTAGAAATGTCTGAAAGAGCTGAAGTCCTATTAAAATGCATGGGCCTATTAAAATGCATTGCAGAATTCTCAATGCAGATTTTTGTCCGATTGCGGAAAAACCGGAAATCGCTGAAGTCCCAAAAGTAATAGCAATAATCTCCCAAACATGTGGAACGTTTTGATGTATAACTTGTGGAAATTGTTGAAAATGTGAAAGCTGTGAAACGTGTCAAAAAAAATGACGGAATAAAGAAATACAAAACCAATGGTTGACTGCGGAAGGTTCCGCAGTCAATCAATTAGAATAACTAACTGTTTCTTGTTTTGATATTTAGGTGAATTTCATGATTACTAGTTTTTCAAGTCTTCGTCGACGTAGATCCAACAGTGGAGATCAGCAGCGAGGGGCAGTTTTATTGCGACTTGCCGTATCAGAAAGCGAAGTGTACAAGGACCTGGCTGCTGCATCAGGAGGCCAAGCTGTGGAAGTGACAAAGAATCAGCTGCTGGAGGCGACCACTGCTGTTGTGGAGACTTCAGCCTCAAATGTGGTACAGTAAAAAACACTACATCTACATTTCCTGATGAAAGGAAGTGCTACAGGTTTTACAAGAGATCATAAATCACAAATTACAGTATGCATTTTTGTTTGTATACAGCTATGGCATTTAAATAAATTAATAAACAAACAAACATACAAACAAAATATTCAGTAAAAAATAATCATAACACGAGACATTTTTGACTTGCTCTCATAGGTGACCATTCTGCAAGCTGTCCGGAACACAGGAAATTCAGAAAACTTCACTTTTGCAGTGGATGAAACTGTGACAAGCCTCACTATCTACATAACTGGGACCGGCAAAGACTTCACTCTCGTCAGCCCCTCAGGTCAAATTGTGTGTTATACTCTTGATAAAATAACGAACTTTTAGCACTAACGTGGATTACTCATGCATACACAAGGGGGTCTTTTCGAAGGATTACGGTGCCCGCTCACTATAACGCATCCTCGCAGTTTTTGCAGATTTTTGTGTGTGCTATTATTACAGCATGCTTCTTCTTTACCCCAACAACATCTTATCATACAACCACTGGTAAAACAACAGAAAAACTCCAGTGATTGGTCCGAGGACTATAGAGGTCTTCCCGTAGCCCTCAGTCCTGCTCCTGCCCCTCAGTGTCCTCTGCAGCTGTATTTTACAGTGTACGCAGCCTTTCAACATAGAACTGCTACGTATTATTGGTTATTTTTAGAACGTAACCCCACGAGAATCAAGGGACCACTGTATTCTCTAAATATGTTCACAAAACCTGTCTCTGGTCTCAGGTGTGGTCCAGGAGGACACTGCCACAAACGGATCACTCATCACTTCAGTGGTGGCTGTTGGAAACCTTCAAGCTTCAATGTTGAAAATAGAAGTTGGATCGTGGGAAATCAGGATGCGTTCCACAAGCCCCTACTCTATGAAAATCACAGGTGTGAAATGTGGATTATATATACGAATGTATGTCATATGTATATATACATATTGAATAGTCTTTGCAATTTCTGTTTTTCAGCCCAGACCCCCATAGACTTCTTCTTCAGCTTCATGGAGCCAATAGGTCATCCTTTTGAGGGGTTCATTTCTACTGAAAACCGTCCAAGAGCAGGTAAAGTTGGGCTGATATTTCATGAATTGCATCCTGTATTCCACAAAACCTTTAGTAATACATATGTAAACAGTTCGTTTTTACATGTTTCTATCAATTGTATTAAATTATATATTTGTTTTTATATAGCCCTAAATCACAAGAGTAGTTATTGTAGGGGACTTTACAAAGCTAACATCCACAGCTCACATGAGTTTAGACTGGAGCAGCGGTGAGAAACGTTATTACCATAACAATTTATATTTTCAAATCCATTTTCTGAAGACAGGGTGACAATATAGTCCCCTGTCACAACATGAATTATCAATCTGTAAACAATAATAATCCAAACTCAAACAAACAAAGGCTTTACATATGTCACATCACCTGCCACAAGTCCATACCATATATTCATTTCACATTTGAAGTTCTATTAGAGAAAGTTTTTCCCAATATTCTAACGATTCATTGATGCATCGGCTGAACATCGGTATCGGCCGATGTTTGTCTTGTTAACTATAATCGTCCATCGGCAAATAAAAATGCCTTCGCTGATGGTGGCGAGTGCAAAGAGATATCAGCAGAGGGCGTCCGCAAACTTTCCTCAGTAGAAGAAACAAAGACGAATGCTGCTTCGTGTAGCAATATTTTACAGAATCAGATAAAGATCAGTGTTATGCAGTTTGCACATGTCCTGAGAGATTTCAGTCCCCCCTGACTGCTAGAAAACCATTTAACACAACAAATCTCATTGGACATTTGAGAAGCAAGCATGAGGCGGTGTACAGCGATTATATGAAGCTGAAGAAAAACTGAAAACTGAAGCCGCCAAGAAATATATATATATATATGTATACAGTACGTATATATATATATATATATATATATAAATATAACAAAAAGAAAAACATTGGCCAAACATCGGCAACGGTTTTTTGTTTGTCTCGATATCGGCCCAAAATTTCACAATCGGTGAATCCCTACAATATTCGAATTATTATGAGTGTCATCTGTGACCAGGTACATTACACAATAACCGTTCATAGTATTACAAATGTATTGTCCTCTTGTCGCAGGAGCAAATGCCACCATGAGCGTAACACTCCTGGGCAGTGATATGTCCAGTGTGACAGAAGTCGATCTTGTTTATACATTGGGGTCCGGACGAGTTAAAGGCACAGTCACGAGTCAGGGCGGGGGAGAATACTTGGTCCAGTTTGACACCATCCCATCCCAGGAGTTTGCAGTGGTTGTGAAGGGGGAGACCAGTAACACAACCAGAGGGGCTGTGGAAACTTACCAGCGACAGTCTACCATCAACATCAAAGCCTCGTCCGTCTTGGTCACCAGTGTAAGCAGCTTTTGAAACACAACAATGTAATAAAGTTAGGGTTAAACTGGCCATAAATCAATTCAAGTCCTTTTTTGTCTTTTAGGATGAAGAAAGCAATGTTGTTGAACCAGGATCCACCTTGTCTGTAAACTTCACTGTGTCCACCAATGGTTCAGGAGGAAGTTTTATCATCAGAGCAACTAATGACCAAAGCTTTAGTGCAACTTTTCCCTCAACTCTGGAGGTGGCGAGCGGTAACAGTACTGTTGGAACACTGCGGCTGATGGCTCCCGCCAGCACGGAGTCTGGAACTGAAGTCACACTGACCGTGGAAGCCGAGGCTCCAGACGGAGACGTGAACTACGTCGTGTTAAGCATCACTGTCCTGAAAGAGGTAACTCACTACTCACTGGGCTCTAAGATCAAAGACAGAACTTACATTTTACTGTTTCAATCTGGAAAGACTCAAGACAAAGATTGCATTATGTTTGCAAGATTGTATTGTAGCTGGACGATTAGACAATTAGACCTGGCAGACACATTATGAGGTACTTCTATATTCATTAAGATTAAAGATTTTGCCAGAAATATTGCATGATGTTTGCAAGAGGGAGTTGAAAAGAAAATATGAACTTGCCAACCTCAGAGGCCTGGTGGTGAAGGAAGCTGAGGCGATTCTCCACTGAGCAATCGGAAATGGGGAGGAGGTGGGTTGCTGCGCGACATGAGCTTGATACTGCAGAACTGAGAAGCTCTGTGCAGTGAGGCTGATGAGCTGCAGTCAGGTGTGTGACTGCAGCTGAGGCTGATTTAAATCTATTTAACTTGCTCCAGTCTATAATAAACACTTCATAAGAACATGACAAAACTTCTCAAATTGTTTTTAAAGTTATTAAAAAAAAACTGACCTAAACATGAACAAGTCTTAACCATAATCTAAAAATCCAATGTCGTTTTATTTTTTGTTAATATGTATTCCCTCAGTCGCCAGTAGATGGCAGTGCTGGCATATTAAAGTAAAGAAGGAGCAGAAATGAAGTGCTGTGAATTTTTTTTTTCATATTTATTTCACGCTGTATTAAATGAAATACATTGGAAAAAGTTCCCAATATCATGTTAAAGGATTCCAAAACACACGCTCTTCACAAAAAACAATTCAGTCAGAACTAGAAAAGTACTCTCAGAGCACAGATTTCCGGGATACATATTTTTATTGCACATGATTTCCTCTTTAAAGATATAATTTATTTCCGGAAAAAAAAAATGTTTTAGAATATGAAATATTATTTCAAGTTGAAAATATATGACAAACACTCGCCCTATCACTCTGCAACCACCAGAGGGAGGTGTAGGTTCTTTTTTTTCCAAAATTGAAAAACGGCAGCTACCAATGTCATGACAATGTAAAAATCCTAAAATCATCTGAGAAATTGCAAATAGTATTTTAAGTTTTAATTTTCATTTAAAATGCTGAACATTTCCTCCACTCCCAGGCAGTAGAACGAGGACTGAGGCAGCTTGCAGGAAGATAGGAGGGTGCAGCCCACATGTCTAGGGCTGGGAGAGACCAGTTCACAGGGCAGGTCAAAGAGGTGGGATTCAGGGGTTTCCATCATCATGCCATGAAACAGACAAAGTGACAGCAAGTGCACAGCAATGAACAGACTACAGCTGAAATCATAATGAAGACAGATAAAGTAGGAAGAGGAGGACTTTTTACAACATACAAGTTGCATCATAATACATAATTTAATTGAAAACTTGAGGTAATTGATTCAGCTGTGTAAGAATTACAAGCAGTGAAAAGTGCTGAGTAGAGTCTAATGGGGCTTTCAGACCGCCAACGCTGAAACGCGGAAGCCCCGCTCACCAGACGCGCATTCTCTAGTTTTCAGACGAGAAGTCTTCACACCAGAACGTCCTGACGCGAGCCGGAAGTACCGGAAGTAGCCGGCCGGCTCTAATGCTAACAGAGTTATGCTAGCGGCTTCTCGTGTACAGATCTTCTCCAATATGCAGCTTTGCAGCGTGTCTTTGAACAGAGACTTTCCACGGGCTTTATATAACAGTAGTATGTGTTCACGGAGGTGCGGCATACGTTTTTTCATATTATTAAATGGTATTTCTGCATCGGCGAACACACTCGAAGCAGTTGCATAAGGTCACGGGAGCATGACAAAGCATATTTTCACAAGCACAGAGTCCCCCATTGTCAACCCTGGTTTGAGTTCTGGTGAAGTCTGGTGTCGGTCCTGTTTTGGCTGTTTGAGTATTTTCAGTCTGCTCGCTCAGTCCGCTGATGTCCCCGTGACCACTTTGCTGCTCTCTGATTGGTTGTCGCACGAACGTCCCAAGGAAAGGATGAGCAGAATCCATCTCCTGTGGGCGTCAATTTTTCGCTCCTGCTCCTCCCTTTTCACTTTCCCGCCAAGTCCGTGCGTCATAATTGAACAGTCCGTTCGTGCGTGCCGAGAGGTCCGTGCGTTGTGACGGTCGAACGCGAGCCACCATAGACTTTGCATTGAAACCCGACGCAACGCATGATCCGGTCTGAAAGCACCATTAGCGGGCTCGCTCGTTCTCCTCCGCTCACAGAACAAGAAGCGAGCAGCCTGCGTCCTCTAGCCTCTACAGCGCTGCTTAACACCAGGGCTTCAACTTCCAAATTCGAATATAATTCTAAAATAAAAATTATATACATATTTCAACAAATATTAGACAGCCCTTATAATTCGAAATGTATGCAAATGACTGCAAATAAAATAGTTAGCTCCCAAAGGTTTCATAGGGACGTGCTAGGCAGGTAACAGCTAAGCTAGCTAGCTGTTTCATGGTAACTTCTGGGATTTTCACAATCGCTTTTTGTCACATTAAAACAGTATTTTTGTCATGAAAACGTTAACAGCAAATTCTGAAATCGTCCGTGCATGTGTGTGCAGAGAAGCTGCACAGTGCAGTGACAGGCGCTGATAGCTTGTTGTACTTGCAGAGTAATGTTAGTCTTTTACACACCTGAATTACAAACAGAGATTGCATTGGGGCTTCGGTCATTATTGGTTTGAGAGTTCTGTTATCAAGAAAAAATTATCGGAAGAATTGCATTCAAGTCAATGGAGTGCTGCTGCTTTGAGGAGCTCTATAACAAATAATTAAATATTAGAATATATTCTAAGGTTTTAAACTAATACATTCGGACGCGAAACTAGCGGTATTCTTTTACTTATATATTGTGTTAGCAGTGCGTTGCTTTAGTGCCATTTCATCAGTACAGCTTACAAGAATTTGCGCTAATGCTAATGTTAGCATACGTATCAGATCGCAAATAAAACCAGGTGGCTCCGTGGAATGAGAGCGTAGGGGAAATGAGAAGCCATTGAGCGAGTTGGGGGCGGTGCTAAACATTCAAACATTGCAGAAACGGGTATAGCTCCTTCAATAAAAACCTCTACTGAATAAACACCTGTGCCCAGCCTTTCTCCACCCACATGAACATTTGAACATTTTCTCTATAAAGGGCGTTGCCAGGACAAGAAAGGGGGCTTAGAGTTGGGCGTGGTCCGGGCTGTGATTGACAGCTCGCTTGTCACACAAAAAGCAATAGTTTACACATCAGAAAGTCTCATTCCACCTTGTTTACACACTAAGATAATTGGGCCTCATTCACGAACGATTCTTACGAACAAATTTGTGCGTAAATCCTACTTACGAGGATTTTACGAAGAATGTGGCATCCACGAATATTTCTCATAAGCAGAATTTCGTAGGATTTGTACTTCGGTAAGTACTCAGGAGCACTCTTACGCACATTCAGTGCCGACATGTTCGCACGCTCGTGTTGTGAAGTTCAATAAAATACAACATTACAGTGATATGTTTGCCATATTGATGTATGTATTTATTTATTTCATTGTTTATGGTAATTTAGTCATTTTTTAAATTCATTTGTAACCTTCATGCGCCAACGCTTTATCAAATACATTGGAAATCATGCCGTTAGTGACCCCATCCTATTGATAGGGGACATTTATCCATCCACGGGTCACAAACAGTGGAATATATACTGCTGCAGCAGGAGGACCGCACTGGTCTCTCCAGTCGCTGCGGTCTCTCTTCGGTCCGCGCTGGTCTCATGCTGGTCTCATGCTGGTCTCATGCGGTCCGCGCTGGTCTCAGTCTATGCGGTCTCTCCTCGGTCCGCGCTGGTCTCAGTCTATGCGGTGTCTCCTCGGTCCGCTCTGGTTTCTGTGTGCTGGTACACAATACAATACAATTTATTCTTGTATAGCCCTAGGTCACAACAGAAGTCATCTCAGAGGACTTAACAAAACCATTGAAATCACCAACACAGGTCAGAGAATCAACAGTTAAAACACATGGAGAATATAAAGCACACACAGAAGAAAATGTCCATACATGTTGTAGAATGCTAAAGTGTCCTGATCATCACCAATCCTTTCTATTGGACACTAACTGTCCAACAAGACCCTCCTGCATCGACAAGGAAAAACTCTTAAAAAACCCAGTGGGAAAACGTGAGAAACCTTGGAGGAGAACTAGGGAAACCCACAGGGAGGGAGACCCATATGAGAAAGGGATCCGCTCCTCCGGACGGACAGGCTAATGATCCAGGACCTAAGCTAGCTACAGAACGTGGACCAGTGGCCGCTGAACGTGGACAGGTCCGGTGCAGGACCGAAGCACTCCCAGGCGGGTCGGACGGGGCAGTCTGCAGGTGTAGATGGAGGAGGCCAGGCTCAGAGATCCCGTCATCGTACCATGAAACAGACAATGGGACAACGGGTGAATAGCAATGAACAAACTACAGTCAGAATCCTAAAAATGCTAAACAGATAAAGTAGGAAGGAGGATAGTGCTCAAGTTACCATACTTCTCCCAGCAAACTGACTCCCTATGCAGCTTGACTGACAGTCTGAGGAGTTTAACCTTCTCCGAGTCTTACCTTCCTAACCATATACTAAACTAAAGAGGACTGTTTTAAACCTAGCCTTGAATAAAGAATAACATACAGCATAATATATAACATAATATACAACATAACACAATACATTATTGAATAATATATAACATAATATATAACATAATACAGCATATATATATAATATATACACTACATATTATATATTACCTAATTATATGCTAAATTAAAGTAGAGTGCTTTAAGCCTGGCCTTGAATGTGGAGACCGTATCTGCTTCCTTAACATAAATGGGAAGCTGATTCCACAGTAAAGGAGCTTGGTAGCTAAATGCTCTGCCACCAACAGTGACCTTTGAGACCTTAGGGACCACCAGACGTCTGGCGTTTTGTGAGCGCAACGCTCGACCTGGTTGATACGACACTAACGTGTCTTGGAGATAAGAAGGAGCCAAGCCATTTATGGCTTTATATGTTAAGAGTAGGATTTTAAACTTTATTCTGTACTCCACAGGGAGCCAGTGGAGTGATTTTAACACCGGAGTTATGTGCTCCCTCCTTTTGGTACCTGTTAAGATCCTAGCTGCTGTATTCTGAACGAGCTGGAAGCTCTTCAAAGAGGCTTTAGGGCACGCTGCCAGTAAAGCGTTACAGTAGTCGAGCCTTGAGGTGACAAACGCGTGAATGAGTTTTTCCGCGTCACTTTTAGGAAGGAAATTCCTAATTTTAGTGATGTTCCGTAAGTGGAAGTACGCCGTTTTAGTTGCTTGGCTTATATAAGCTCTTGGTCAAAAATGACTCCAAGATTCCTCACAGTGTTACTGGGTATTATACTGACATTATCGAGAGTAACCATCTGGTTAGTGAGGGAGTCACGCAGGCGCTTCGGACCGAGTAGGATCACTTCTGTCTTCTCCGGGTTGAGAAGTAGGAAGTTAAGAGTCATCCACATTTTAAGGTCCTTTATGCAGGCACTGAGCTTTTCTAGCTGATCTGTCTGGTTAGGCTTCATCGACAGATAAAGCTGTGTGTCATCTGCATAGCAGTGGAAATTAATTCCATGCTTTTTAATAATGTTTCCCAGTGGCAGCATGTAGAGAGTAAAAAGAATCGGTCCGAGTACCGAACCCTGCGGCACACCGAATTCCACTCCAGAATAAGGCGACGAGTCCTGATTCACATTGACGAAGTGATATCGATCTGATAAATAGGATTTAAACCAGCCAAGGGCTGTTCCTCTAAGACCTATATCACATTCTAGCCTCTGCAGTAGAATGCTGTGGTCTATTGTGTCAAATGCAGTCTCTCCAGTCTCTCCAGTCTCTCCTCGGGTCTGCATTGGTCTCAGCGCTGGATCTCCTCTCAGGGTCCAAAATACTTTTAGATTAATCTCATAACATTTTGAGATTCATTTTTAAATTAAAACATAATATATTTTTAAATCAATCTCATAACATTTTGAGATTAATCTCATCATTTTGCTAGTTCGACTTTATTCTCAAAATATTTCGACTTTTAAGTCAACATTTTATGACTTTATTCCTAGTCTGGCAAAAGAAGAAAAAAGGGTGACTCTTTTGCTCCGTGTAACTCTTTGCTTTAGGCCTGTTGCTGTTTCCTCTGGCGTCTGCACACGGCCCTGCGGTCCCTTTTATGGGCATTAATGGGCGGTTACCTATGCTAAGTACCTATGCTAATGAAGCACCGGGCACGCGCGCTCTACTTACGAGGAGTTGGCATTCATCAATCTAAGGGTGTATTCAGACCTGCACATTTGCTCCACTTTAAACGGACCAGGATTCGTTTGGAACTCTGATCCGAATCTTTTATGCAGGTCTGAATACACACAAACGAATCCTGGTCCGGACCAAAGAACCGAACCGAGACCCACTTTTTGAGGTGGTCTCGGTCCGCTTCCAAACAAATTCTGGTCCAAGTCGAATCAGGTCTGAATACATCCGGTGTCGATCCGACACAACTCCAAGATACGTGCGCATTTTTTGGGCTTAACAAGCCGCAGACAGAAACTGAGGAATTAGCCACGCAGCGGCTAACTATGCTGCTAACTATGCTGCTAACGCTACACAACAACACTGAGCCGTGTGCAGACCTGGAGCAGTGAGGAGACGCTGTGCAACAGGCTTATGGAGTTAAAACTGTTCACAGTATACATTGATGTTAATGGCAGCATCTTCAAACCATTTGCATTATTAAAAGCCTGACACTGTTTGACTCACGTCTCAAAAAGCAATATTCTCATCATGTAGTGAATTGTGTTCTTTGGTTCCTACCTGATCCTCAGCGTCTGTTTGTCCCGTGGTTATTATAGATCCATGGTTTATCCACATGCTGCTGTCAGTAAGTTGTGGAACAGGGTTATTATAATAGATCCATGTGTGGGACAGGACACGGAGCGCACAGACAGTCTCCTTCGGCTTTCTCCTCACGCATTCTCCGACGCTTTTCCAATATTTAAAACAACGTGTTTGGCCTGCGTCATATGAGCTGCTGTTGATGTTGAAGGTGGTTTTGCTCTAAAAAGAGCAAACGTAGGCAGAGCAGACATGCTGCACATACGAGCCCTCAATGTTTTCCTCTGGTTCCGCGTCTATCCTGTGAGCTCTCGCTGTCCAATAGGAGCGCCGATCGTCACACGTGTCAATATGTTTATATAAAAAAGTTCACTTGCAAAAAGGACAGTCTGAATACGAACCGGAGCAAAAGAAAAAAGTTTGGTCCGCTTTTGATTCGGATCAAGCAAGCGGAGCAAAGGACTTTTCAGGTCTGAATACACCCTAAATTCAGCGGCTTACGAGCGCGTTGATGAATCCCACGTAGGGTCTTCTTAGAAATCTACTTAAGAACAACTTGAGAATAAATTTAAGAAGTTTCTTACGGAGATATTTGTGAATGAGGCCCATTGTTGAGCTACACACGTGATCCTAAGCCACAGAATTATCTCAGCCGTAGTGGCTGTCGAATGATGTAATTTAATTTCAATCCACTAGATGTCGCCAGAATACTCCAACACGTTACTGGGGCGTGTGTGAGAGTTGAATGGGTTTATATCACTGGCGCAGACAAACGCATGTCACACGTACAAACTGACGGCAGTATTACAGAGTCAATGGAGAGGCCAGGACCAAATTCAAGTGTAGTACCACCAAAAATGTTGAGAGGGCGCCACACAGACGGTTTTAGGCTCAAAAGTGAGATTTTATCTAATTTGCACAAAAATGTTGAAAAAAAAACAGGACCAGGATATGTAGAGAGCACGATAAGACACATATTTATGCAGTTTATGAGGTAATAAAAAGTTTATTTGGTGTTTTGTCTCTGCAGGTGACTGATTTGACGCGTCCCGTGTGCGAGCTTCTCTCTCTGCGCGACAACTGCACGGTGGTCTGCAGCAACGACACCTGGGAGCTGAGCGTGCGCCTGAGCGACAACGTCAACGGCACCGGTCTGGACAGAGTTTTTCACCGCAATGGAAACGGAACCTTCAACATCACCGTGGACGCCGCCAACGACACCCTGGCGTCCTACGTGGCGTCCTGCTGCTCCCCCACCGTGGAGATAGTGGCGGTCGACGCGGTGGGAAACGTAGGCTCCTGCTCCTTCACGACTCGAGTGGCGAGCGTCGTCGTGACAACCACCCCCATACCCACGACCACACCACCCACTACTACACCACCCACAACTACGCCCAATACGACAGCAACCGCAAATATAGTCCACCAGTCCTCTCTCCTCTGCTTCTTCATCACTCTGCTTGCTTTTATGCTAAAATAAAATAGCTTGTTTTTATCATGCATACAGGAATTATAATGATTAATGAGCGGGGAACAGATGTGCAATAATTTAACGTTTTTTATCCCCTCTCTCCCAGGCACTGGAAAAAGTGCTGAAATTTTTCAAAAATTGCTCGAATTTGGAAAAATGTTGTTAATTCGAGCACATTGTGACTGCCTTAAAACAAAATTTGTCAATGGGACAAAGCAAAATGATGAAAAAACAGATCAGATTCATTTATTTGCCATTTGCAGTAAAACCACATTGGAATACATTTGCAAAAGTCCCCAGTGTCCACGTTGGTAAATCTTCTTTTAACACAGTCAGAATGTACTCAAATTAAGATAAAAACCACACGATTCAAACAAATATTACCTCATATTTTATCATTTTTTGCAGTGTGGGTCCATCCTCCCCAACATAAATTCACACAAACCCCCAATGTCCGGGTATTGATGGTATTTCAATACAGGTAATTGTAAACCGAGATGATTATTGCAAACTTCCTCTGTCAAAACTGCTTTTTATAAATTGTTAAAAAGCTGTAATGAATTCATTTTGAGCCAAATCGATTAAACGACTGAAGCTGAGGAATTTTGCAATTGAGTGAAAATAGGGAACGTTTTCCATTTTCAATTCAATTGGTTATTAGGTTATCATTATAGTTGTAATGAACAATTATTTTGTCATCAAATTATTTAGATTAATTGATTAGTTGATGAGATACATAAAGGTCAGTTAATATTGTTCTTTGATGTTCGGAACGCAGCAGCCAGACTTCTCACTGCTGTTTTCAGAAGAGAGCACATCACCCCTGTTTTAGAATCCCTCTTCTGGCTCCTTGTGGGTTTTAGAATTGATTTCAAGATTTTACTGATCTCTTTTAACGCTTTTAGAGGTCTTGTTCTTTAAAGGAGGCCTAAAAACAATGAATGTATGTATTACATTGGTTGACAAATTATGATAATTGATTTGTGTGATTAATCAAATAACTTGTTACAATCCTAAAGTGCAATTGCAAAAACCAGATTTCAACTTCTTTGGTGTGTGTTTAGTCTTCTTTTGATTTCATGTATGTTTAAATAAATGAATGCAAGTGAAGAAGATGGCATAGTCTGGGATCGCGTCTTTAATTCAGACAGAAGACATGTTTTATTGTCGATGGTAGAGACAGCACGAACAACACGAACAACACAAACAACAGAATGCAAGTGTATTATACAGAGCGGAGGCATGGAGACCTCCAATCAGCAGCTTCCACGGTGCCATGTAGCTTGGCCTTCAGATAGACAAAACAAGGGAAAAGTACTGGCTTCTGCACATTGATAGAATGATGAGTTTAACTTTAACAAAAGTTGCTTAAAAGTGTTATGAAATCTCACACAAGTATTAAATAAAGTATATATCTTTATTCCCAGATGTAATGAAGTGTTTCACGTTGCACAACAGCCACTGCACCATTTAATAATAATAATAATAATAAGAAGAAGAAAAAAATATGCATTGGGTTTATATATTGCTCTTTACTGGTCACTCAAAGGCTCAGACGCTTCTCATCATTCTTTCACTCTTTACACGGTGGTGATAAACCACTACTGTAGCCACAGCTGCCCTGGGGCCCACTGACACTGACAGGAGCGAGGCAACCAGTCTGTGCCTCTGACCACCACCAACTATTCACACACACACACGCACGGACGCACACACACACACGCACGCACACACACACACGCACGCACGCACACACACACACACATACCAGACTCATTCTAGGTAATGTGGGTGAAGTGTCTTGCCTAAGGACACAACAACGACACTTTACAGAGGTCTTCTTTTTTAAATGGTACGTGACGCAGTAACACATGTCCGTGACCAAAGGAGGAGCCCTGGTGCTTTGTGCAGAGCTCTTTGTGACCAACACAGTGTGCTCTATGAGAGAGTTTGGAGCTCTTTGTCGTTGCTCAGAATGAATGCTTTATGAACAGTCTGCAGAATGTACCTGTTTTATATGAAATATTTCTTATTTTGTTGGTTTCATTTGATGTGTTTGCTTTCATCTGTTATCTTTTAGCTTTTATTTTAGATTATATTTTTTTATGTTGTAAATGTATGTCGAATGTGTTGCCTCTTGTCCAGGACATCTTGAAAAACAGATTTAATGAGGTTCTCCTGGTTAAATAAAGGTTAAATAAAAATACCACTACTGGCCGGGCGCTGGAACTATATTGTGTTCCGCAGTCATCTCTAGACGCTCTGCGGGAGTCTGGTCGCTTTTGCTAATTGCTTTGAAGCGTGTTGGCAGCGTCTCCGTCTAAACTGTTGTGCTTTAACAGTGCTTTTTTGCTTGTTTGTGTGCGTGTGTGTGTGTTTGTGTGTGTGTGTGCATTCGTGTGTCATATTGCTGTGATGTGTTTTGTTGGAGGATACTGTAGGGTGTTGATTCTTGTTTTGTAAGTGTGTCTTTTCTTGTATTGCATCAGCCGTTCAGATGAATTTAGTATGCATCTGAACGGCTGGGAGTTAATTCAAACTTTTCGCTTCAACCAATCCCCTTTTCAAACCAAGCACAGGTTTTCTTGTTTGCTTTCTAGTCTATTATATTTCTATGTATCTTGTGCATGTTTGTAGTTTACTGCTACTTGCTCATGTAGAGATTCAACTTCTCCGATGCCTAAAGGGATAATTAAAATGTGCCAGAACAACTACAATCAAAGGACTAATATCATCCATAAATAGAAGTGTGTAAGACCTCAGGAGGTGCGACAGCAGACACGTGGTTCATCAAGTTCAACAGCTCACGGGGCTTTAGCTACACGTGGTGCATGTGGCTGATCATTATTGGACTTTTGTTTTTGTTTGTTTACGTGACACAGCCTTCGTTTTGGAAAACCAATTGTGATGCTGCAGTTTTGTCTAAAATGATTTAAATATTAAACTTTTTTGTGAATGTAAATGTTTATTAGATTGTACTTATATCACTTATTTTAGGTTACAGAACTTTCAAACAGCACTTTTTTTTTGGGATTTTTTACATACCCCCTTACCCACATTACCAGACGCACACGCACACACACACACGAAACGTTTTTGTTGTGTTCATATCGTCCATGGGAACTCGAGATCAACAAAGAAAACCTGTCACGTCATTGATTGTTCCATTCGTTTTTACACAAACCATAATCTCAGGTCCCCAAGACATGTGCTAAAAATATCCTCTATAAAAATTAGAATAACCGGCAGAACATACACAAAAAAATCTAAAACTGTGTGGAGATTTGTGGATCTTCTCGGCTTTGTTCTGAATCCTGCATTATTAAAGTTTTAGTCTGAAAATGAATACATAACTTTTATTGGAATGTTGGTTAAGTTATCATTTTAGTAACTCCTACAGTATATGGGGCTGATTTATTATATACTGAAAGACTGTATTGAAATTCAATGTTGGCTCCATCCAGTCTTCGGGGCGCAGGGCCGTTTTAGCAAATGGGACCAGGCCAGGCCTGGTAAGATGTCATTGTTTCTTTGGTTCTCTGTGGCTCCTTCCTGTACTGTGCTGTTGAGATGTTACCAAAGGTCTCATTGTGCAACTGTGACTGTGTGGAAGTGAGGTGTGTCTTATCTCCTTCTATAATGCCTGTCTGAGGCCAGACATGTTCTGGACAGGCTGAGCTGAGCTGTGCTCTGTTCTCTACAGAACTTGTCTCCTTGGATGCAACCAAGAATAACAAAACAGGAACAATGTATTTTATTTTCATTACAGAAGGGCTCAGCTTGTATTATTGTAGTAAAAATTTATTGAATTAATACATAGACATAGATAGTATTGAAAATAATTAGGTCTGTGCCAAATATCAAAATGCAATCTCAATTTTGGGCTGGACTGATAATCATGTTGATTATTGACGAAGTGCATTTAGACTAAGATGGCAATAATGTGACACTGACACCACAAGGCACTCAGGAAGAAATAGAAAAACTGCACCACGCGGCCTCAGTCCCGTCCTGCAGCCTGAGTCCTGGATCTACAGCCTCTCTGGCTGTAGAAGCTTCATGGACCTGTTTTTGACTTTTTCCCACTAGGTTTTTATAAAGTTGTTTCTTGCCAATGCAGGAGGGCAATGATGATCCGGGACATTTAAGGACCGGATATATTTCCCCCATATGGACCAATGACTCCTGCTGTATGTCTTTGTTATGATAGCTAGATAGATACTTTATTGATCTGCGTTTCAGGTGTCCAGTAGCAGCAAAAAGTTTCTCCTGTGTGAGATTAATAAAGTATATCTTATCTTAAAGCAGCAGAGATGGAACCGCTTGGTTCGGATCATTTTCTCTGCTCTGGTCCACATTAAAATAAAAAATTTAGTATTCCTCCAGTGAATTTTCGCCTGATCCTCTTGGTTCGGACCATGAATCCTCTCTGCTCTGGTCTGGACCAGTGTAAAAACATGAATACTGTACTGCAGCAACATCTTAGGTAGGAAAATAACACTTGTAAAGCACAAAAACAACAACTGTTTCAGAGCTAATTAGTACATGCAGCTGTTTCCAGCGCATTCAAAAGTACAAGTATGATTGAACTCCCTGTGTTTGATTCCCTTATTTAAAAAAACCTATAAATGACTCACTTTTTAATAAACCTGATTAAATTTTTTAAATGTTTTTCTCCATGAGTTTGAATGAGAGCAGACAAAATGACGACTCTGGGATTTCTTGTAGTGTCAGAATTCTGGGAGTCCTCTTGTTAAAAATATTGTTGCTGCTAAAAGGCCTCATCACCAGAATCTCACAATACCACAAACATACAGGTGCACAAGTAGACGTTGTAGATCATCGCAAACTACATTGTGCAA